GAGAATGCTTTGATTTCATTAAAAAAAAATACAAAGTGTTCTGTAAATGGCAATCATGCTGAGCAAATGACCCTCTGTGTTCACTATGCAGCAGGGCAACCTCTCAGCACAGGACTTGGAAGACTGTGGCGGTCATTGTAGTAGCGCTACTATAGAGATCACGCAGTCTTCTGTGTCCTGCCCTTCCAAATAGTAAACAGCTGTCATTCACAAAAAGCCTTGTTATTTTTTTTTCACAGAATACAAGGCATTCTCTGATAGGATGAGGTGAAGAGGCAGGGCGGTGACATCACACTCTCCTCCTCATCCAATCAGAGAGTGCCTTGAATTCAATAAAGAAAATACAAGGTGTTCTGTAAATGGCAGTTGTGCTGAGAAAATGACCCTCTGTGTTCACTATGCAGCAGGGCAACCTCTCAGCACATGACCTGGAAGACTGTGGCGGTCATTGTAGTAGCGCCAATTGCTACAGTCATTCTTTGCTTCCATATATATATATATATATATATATATATATATATATATATATATATATATATAGGTCCAAGCTGGATCAATGTAACTAAACAATAAAAACCATGCTTGAAATTCAGCTTTTTATCTTGTGAGCTGAGGCTGTTAAGCATGATCACTATTCTTAACACTGGGCAATGCAGGTTACCAACAGACTTGTGTATACCACAAAAAAAAAGAACGTGCCATGGGAATTATGTTTTTGTTCACACAGGTAGCAGCCCCCTCTGACCCTTTGAAAAAACCATCTGTGGTGGATCCATCCCATTACCGGCAATGGCCCCATTCTAATTGGTGCGACTCAAGTCGCAGCGACTTTGAAAAGTGCCTCAGCACTATTTTTGTGCGAATTCATTGCGACTCGAATTGACATCTGTTAATGAATTCTCACAGAATAGTTGGCTGTCAAAGTCACATGACTTTGAAGTCGCAATGATGTCAATCGGGGCTTAAGCCTACTTGAAAAATCTCCTTTCATGTTGTGAAGTCTGTGACACCACAGTGCTTCATTTAGGACCATGTTCACACTACATGCTTTTCAGTTGCTTTTTTTCTGCATCCAAAACGCACATAAAATAGGTGATATGGTTGTCAATGTCATAATTCACATCAGTGCTTGCAGTTCCAGTGTGTTCTGGTTGCAGAAAATACAATAGAACAGGCTGCAGTTTTTCTGCACAGAACTGTACTGGATTGCGATAAAACGCATCAAAAACACACCGGAACGCAGCAAAATGCATTAAAAACGCACAGGAACACACAATATTTACATTGAAGGGAAAGAGAGGGAGGAAAAATTAACTGGAATGCATAAAAAAACGCACAAAAATGTGTCAAAAATGGGCAAGCAGAAAAGCATCCGGAACGCATCTAGTCTGCGTTTCTATAGTGTGAACCAGCCATCACACAGAACTCAAGGAAGCCAACGTGTGGGGTCTTCACAAAGTACATGTAGAAAGTTTGTGATTGTTGTAATAGGGGGAGACTAGAAATCATGGCAATATAACGTGGAAACGAATGGAGGATTTTCCATCTGACCATAGAGATCATTTAATTATACATACTTCAATTTAACCCCTACATGTCCGATCCAGCAGGAATACCACCAGTCCCACCCCAGGAGCCCCTCTCCAGCCTATGTACACACTCCATCACAAGCCAAGAGCCATTTAAAAACATGAACATAAAAGCACACTTTAGTAATTTGCACTTACATTAAAGTGCTGCATTTTAATCACGCTTAATGGAGTTTATTCTGGAAGCTGGAGTGCTCGTCGTTTGATTTGTTTTACATACATTTGAATGATTCCAAGGCGAAGGAATGATATGCAGTACATGAAGCCATCGCAGAGGCATGCATACAGCCATGCATAATAATAACGCCATCTCCCATCAGGGGGCGCTCTCCCGCGGCAGAACAGAAGGCACGCAGAGCACAATCCCAATGTAATAGGCTAATCAGCTCACACTTACAGAGAGGAGAGGAGAGGAGGGGAGAGCAGGGGAGGGGAGAGGAGAGCAGAGGAGGGGAGAGCAGAGGAGAGGAGCACATCCACAGCCCAGACACCGGGGGAGCACAACTGTGCGGAGATGCTGGATCCTGCTGGACAGAGACGCTGGCTCCATCGGATTGATTAGTGAATTACAGAAAAAGAAAAGCCAGGACACTTCAGAAGGGATCTTGTCCATGGGGATCTACAGGAGAGGCTGATGGACTGACCCCCTGGGGAGGGCTCCAGCAAGTGTTGGGGGATCAGCCAAATAATGATGCTGCAAAGTGCTCCCCTCTCCCAGGCAAGAGAGAAAAGTCACTGGATGTCTGGAGGCAGCCCTGACTCACCACAATGCAGCTGCAAGAGGCGAAGTGCCTGTGGCCCCATAGGAGGCTATAACTAACCTGAGGATCAGCTCTCCAATGAACGAAGAATGGGTACGTGTATTGCTGGATGAGCTTACATGTCACCAGGTACCAGCATGGCACATCCATACTCTACACTTCTATACTGACCAGCAGATACATTCTCTACACTTCTATACTGACCAGCAGATACATTCTCTACACTTCTATACTGACCAGCACATCCACCATCCATTCTCTACACTTCTATACTGACCAGCACATCCACCATCTATTCTCTACACTTCTATACTGACCAGCAGATACATTCTCTACACTTCTATACTGACCAGCAGATACATTCTCTACACTTCTATACTGACCAGCACATCCACCATCCATTCTCTACACTTCTATACTGACCAGCACATCCACCATCCATTCTCTACACTTCTATACTGACCAGCAGATACATTCTCTACACTTCTATACTGACCAGCACATCCCCCATCCATTCTCTACACTTCTATACTGACCAGCACATCCGCCATCCATTCTCTACACTTCTATACTGACCACCAGATACATTCTGTACACTTCTATACTGACCAGCACATCCACCATCCATTCTCTACACTTCTATACTGACCAGCACATCCACCATCCATACTCTACACTTCTATACTGCCCAGCACATCTATACTGCCCAGCACATCCATCATCCATACTCTACACTTCTATACAGCCCAGCACATCTATACTGCCCAGCACATCGATCATCCATACTCTACACTTCTATACAGCCCAGCACATCTATACTGCCCAGCACATCCACCATCCATACTGCACACTTCTATACTGCCCAGCACATCCACCATCCATACTGCACACTTCTATACTGCCCAGCACATCCATCATCCATACTGCACACTTCTATACTGCCCAGCACACCCATACTGCACACTTCTATAATGCCCAGCACACCCATACTGCACACTTCTATACTGCCCAGCACATCCATCATCCATACTGCACACTTCTATACTGCCCAGGACATCCACCATCCATACTCTGCACTTCTATACTGCCCAGCACATCCATACTGCACACTTCTATACTGCCCAGCACATCCACCATCCATACTGCACACTTCTATACTGCCCAGCACATCCACCATCCATACTGCACACTTCTATACTGCCCAGCACATCCATACTGCACACTTCTATACTGCCCAGCACATCCACCATCCATACTGCACACTTCTATACTGCCCAGCACATCCATACTGCACACTTCTATACTGCCCAGTACATCCATTATCCATGCTGCACACTTCTATACTGCCCAGCACATCCATACTGCACACTTCTATACTGCCCAGCACACCCATACTGCACACTTCTATACTGCCCAGCACATCTATACTGCACACTTCTATACTGCCCAGCACATCCATCATCCATACTGCACACGTCTATACTGCCCAGCACATCCATTATCCATACTGCACACTTCTATACTGCCCAGCACATCCATTATCCATACTGCACACTTCTATACTGCCCAGCACATCCATTATCCATACTGCACACTTCTATACTGCCCAGCACATCCATTATCCATACTGAACACTTCTATACTGCCCAGGACATCCATCATCCATACTGCACATGTCTATATTGCCCAGCACATCCATCATCCATACTGCACACTTCTATACTGCCCAGCACATCCATCATCCATACTGCACACTTCTATACTGCCCAGGACATCCATCATCCATACTGCACATGTCTATATTGCCCAGCACATCCATCATCCATACTGCACACTTCTATACTGCCCAGGACATCCATCATCCATACTGCACATGTCTATATTGCCCAGCACATCCATCATCCATACTGCACACTTCTATACTGCCCAGCACATCCATTATCCATACTGCACACTTCTATACTGCCCAGCACACCCATACTGCACACTTCTATACTGCCCATCACATCCATACTGCACACTTCTATACTGTCCAGCACATTATTTATGGGATAGTAAGAAAAACTCACACTCACATTTCTGGATAGTACATATTTGTAAATAGATGTGTCTGCATGTTTAGATAAACTATTCAAAAAAAACAAATCGGTTTATATATCTGTGTCTATTCTATCTGTCCAGTATCTGCTATGGATCTCTCTCTCTCTCTCTCTCTCTCTCTCTCTCTCTCTCTCTCTCTCTCTCTCTCTCTCTCTATCTATCTATCTATCTATCTATCTATCTATCCATTATCTATCTACTATGGATCTATCTGCCTGTCCAAATATCTATCTATCTATCTATCTATCTATCTATCTATCTATCTATCTATCCAGTATTATCTATTTACCTATCTATCTATCTATCTATCTATCTATCTCTCTCAGCCTGCTCTCTCTCCTCTATCTTCTATCACTTTCTTTTCCTATCTATATTTTTATGTAGTACACCAATATGCAGTTCTGTTCATTTGAATGCAGGATAGCACAAATTGGGCATGGTGTTTTGCCACCCATGATAAGACTGGAGAGCAGCATATGTGATGTTGTTTCATATTGTGTCTATATTCTATACTCTATCATTCAGAAAATCACTTTCAGGCTTTCACTTGTAGGTTTCAACCCTTATCGGTTATTAAGAGGATCTGCTATATTCCTGCCTATAGCCCTGCTGGTTTACATGGCAATGCTCTCCTCTGCTGAACGTGGGTGCCCTACAGGATGTAGATGTGATGGAAAAATGTTTTATTGCGAGTCTCAGAAGCTGCAGGAAATCCCTTCATCAATATCTCCTGGATGTGTCGGGTTGTCTCTCCGGTATAACAGCCTCCACTTACTGAAATATAATCAATTTAAAGGTCTTAATCAGCTCACTTGGCTGTACATAGACCATAACCATATTAGCAGTATTGATGAAAATGCATTCAATGGGATCCGTAGATTAAAGGAGCTTGTTCTGAGTTCTAACAGGATTTCCCATCTGCTAAACAACACTTTCAGACCAGTCACTAACCTGAGAAACCTAGATCTTTCCTACAACACTATCCAGAAATTGGGACCTGGCCAGTTTAAGGGTTTGAGGAAACTGCAGAGCTTACACTTGAGGTCGAATTTACTGCGAAACATTCCAGTTCGGATATTCCAGGACTGCAGAAATATGGAACTTTTGGATCTGGGGTATAACCGAATCCGAAGTTTGGCCAGAAATGTTTTTACAGGTATGATCAGATTGAAGGAACTTCACTTAGAGCACAACCATTTTTCCAAACTTAACCTGGCCCTTTTCCCCAGGCTAGTAAGCCTACAGAACCTGTACTTACAATGGAACAGGATCAGCTTCATAGGTCAAACCATGTCTTGGACCTGGACTTCATTACAGAGGCTTGATTTATCTGGTAACGAAATAGAGGCTTTCAGTGGCCCAAGCGTCTTTCAATGTGTTCCCAATTTACAGCGACTCAACCTGGATTCCAACAAACTGACCTTCATAGGCCAGGAGATCCTGGACAGCTGGGGGTCTCTTACTGACGTAGGTCTTGCTGGCAATATCTGGGAATGTAGCCGAAATATTTGTTCTTTGGTCAACTGGCTTAAAAATTTTAAAGGCCTGCGGGACAACACAATCCTTTGTGCCAGCCCTAAGGACCTGCAGGGGATCAATGTCATGCAGGCAGTGAAAAACTACAATGTTTGCAGCAAAAATGTTACAGAGAGCAGGGAGTTGAAAACCACTGGTCGGAATACAACTGCAAAACACAAAATAATGAGAACTAAGCATGAAAGTAACCACTCGATGCCTCCAACTGTCGGAGTGACAGGACCTGGCTATGAGACCAGCGGGGATGCAGATAGTGTTTCTTTACATAAAATCATAGCGGGGACTATAGCGCTGTTCCTGTCTGTGTTAGTGATCTCCTTAGTAATCTACGTGTCATGGAGACGGTCTCCCGCAGGTGTTAGGCATCTGCAGCAGGCTACTCTTATGAAAAATCACAGCCAAACAAAAAGATCATCCCTAACACAGATTAGCCTAACGCCACAGGAATTTTATGTAGACTACAAGCCTGCAACAAGCAGAGAGACTTGTGAATCCATAAGCACTACTGGTTCCTGCACATATACCAAATCAGGTTCCAGGGAATGTGAGGTATAAAGATTGCAAATACACTTTCTTCTTATTTATTTTTGTTTTTGTTTTTTTTTTAGGATGACTTGGCTTATTTTTTATTGAACTGTAGCATTTTAACTTTTCTGTCACTTTTCACTAACATCACCTATAAGCAACTGTCCATTTATGAATATGTTTATTTCTCCTGCCAAATTATAAGCCAACAACAATTCAAGACAAGCTGATATAAAGTCACGGTGAGATGGTGTGCAGTCTATTGTGAGTTATGGTGCTGTTTCCTTTATTTTTTTTTTTTTGGGATTAAAGTATGATATGTTTTAAGATTTTGGAGAGTTGAGCTGACATTTCTTTAATCCATGCTGTAGCTTTGGTTGGGTGCTCTTTGGTTGTTCTAAAAAAATGGTACAATATAGCCTATATAAGTAATAGATCCACTTCATTGTATAGCTATAGAGCTGCAGTTTGCTATACTATTTAAGCTATAAAATCCTATTTCTTACATAACCGGAGGCAACGTTCTAAGGATACAGTGTGTTTTTGACCTTATCAGTCTCCTCCAACCTCAGCAAACGTCTGTATGGTTCTGCTATTTTCGTGTTGAGACAGGTCCTTTTATGAGCAGTACAGGCTGATGTGACATCTCAGCCAGTTAGAGGATCTGAATACAGATTTTGCATACTTGACTTTGGGAAAAAAGGCATAATAGAGGCTTTATTTCATAAGAAGGCAGTGATGTGCAGTAATCTATAGCAACCAATCAAAAGTCAGATTTTATTAGAATTAATATTGTGCTTCTGAAATCAGACTGGTTAATGTAGATTGCAGCACATCAATCCATAAACATGTCATTGAAGAGAAAATATCATATTTTTTATGATGCTTCTTAATGTGTTCAAGTTTTTAATTTTCTGTTTAAGGCACATTGTAAAACAGATGTTTATTTTACAAGGACGTGATTATGATGTGTTGTGTTCTGTTCTGTCTAGCATTAATGGTTGCACTTTTTTGACAGAGAATCAGTTATGTGACCTGCCTGTATTGCAAAAGAAGCAAGTGGTTTTAAAATAATAATAATAATAATAATAATGAAATGCCCTAAGATTAAAGTACAAAGAGCAAAAACTAAGCAACCAATAAGAGGTTTTAAAACGACTTCAGTAATCTGAACTGTGGTTGCAGTAGGTTAATGAATTTTGCACACCAATACTCCTTGCTTTGTTTAATTTAACAATTATGTTGATGCTGTGTAGTTTTTTTTTAATGTTTTGACACCTAACAACTGGTTAATAAAGTAATGCGCCATAACTGTACATACCTTGGCTTCTGTAAACTAAAATCTATTAGGTTTCTATGGATTATTGCATTTTGTTAATCTTCAATGCCCTTTGTACTGCCATATTAATTAGGCTGTAAAGTATTAGAGGATGGTAAAGTGGCAGTGGGAGAGTTATTTGTACGGCAACTGAACCTGAAAAGCAAATACAACCTGGTCAGTTGGCAGGAGAGTATGAAATGTAGGGCAGCCTCTGGAGGCCTCTACCTACAAAAGTGTTTCAGAAGCACAACAAAGGGGTCTTGTTCGGATTAAGGCCTTAGGTGACTACCTCAATTGATGCGTAGTTCTGGATGAACACACACAAGCTGATGTATTAACTGGTTATTTTTATCTGTATAGAACTCCAGTAGGGAGTTGTCATTGCCAGAGTCTTCTGTTCTGCCCTTGATGAGTCTGATATTAACTCCCCAAATGCTCTCCAACCTCAGTTAACCGTGACTGCTGCCTAGAAAGGTGAGATGTACAAAATATTGAACAAAGAGAATGCCAAACCAACTGCAAATTCTAAGTAATAAAGTATGTTTATTGATAAAAAAATCCATTAACATGCCAACACTTTGTACTTTCAGAAGATAGGAATACTAAGGCTGTAAAGATATCTGATTGATGATTGATTTTCAAACTTTCACAAGATAGAATTTTTCAGACTGTAAAAAACTCATATTTGATCATAGCTTTGTGGAGGGATCACTTTAGCAACTGGAAAGTACTTTATGGTCCAAGTATCTCTATCTACTGAAATTTTGAAGCCATGATGAAGAGGGTTCCCTACAACCCTCAAAACACAATGGCCTGGTAAGGTTCATTTTGTCTCTTATTTGGACTTTACCATGATCTGCCACTCTTTTTTTTAGGCAATACATTTTATTGAAATTTATCAAAGAGAAAAAGACAGAGTACGGAGGGTGGTATGGTATACCATTTGCAAACCATTGTCAGCTATACAATAAGGAAACGAGTGTCATGGGTATCATTCAGATGATTAGACCAAGTAACATAAAGTGCAATTAGTAAAACAATAAGGAAGCTAATCTAAGTGGCCATGGTCAGTGGCTGCACTTCAGGTGAGGACAAGGTCCAAAATAAAGTAGTTGTAAGACCATAGAGATATTTATGAGGTTGCTTTGCTTAGATCTGTGCAGTAATGACAAATAAGGAAGATAAAGTGGGAAAGGCAGAAAGTGAAAAGGGGGGGGGGGAGTAAAGGGCGAGTGTATTATAGGAAAAGGGGTTGACCAAGGTTGGCGCTATCAGTCTGCCACTCTTTTTGTTTCATGCTTTGCATATCTCACCTGACACACCACTTAATGGCCTTTTGGGCATTGGGGTTGATTTCCTAAAGGTAGTAAACCGTTCACTTTACAGGGTTAGTTGCACTGTAAGATAATTTTCACCAGATCTTGGTGATTTGAAGTGAAGCTCTGCTGATATCCATCATCCAATCATAGCTAAGCAAAAATTCATTTTTTTTTTTTTAATTTTCTTTGCATGTGATTGGGTATTCTTTGCAAAATGAAATTTCTCCATATACACTAAGCCCTGGGGATAACCTCCTTGTAAAGTGAACTGCCTATTTGCCCTTAGTAAGTCAACGTCATTACAAGGTCGGGAACCCTAATATATTATAGCAAAGCTAGCCTTTGGAATCTAGTGCAACTGAACCCACACCTGCTCTTTGTTACCTAGAAAAGGGTAGGAGTAAGAGATTAGCTATGCTGTCACAGTTGAGCTTCTTACGTCTTCCCTTGATGTGATATAACAAATAAGTTCATGTATCACTGTACGAAATTCTGTCTGCATTGTCCTAGAGTGACCAGTCATATTTAAACTTTAAAGTGTAAGTTCACTTTTTTTAGAAAAAATTAAAAGATGAACTTATGATGTACACCCTTCGTACCCCCCTGGTCCCCGCTGTACTTACCTCCGTGGATGATGAGCTGTCAGTACTCATGTAGCTGTTGTAGCAGTACAGGGAATTGAAATCCCAGTTCTTTTCCCTCTTCTTTCTGCAGCGCTAGCAATTAAGTGTGGTCAGCACCAGCACAGAGCATCGCTCTGATCCCTCCCAGAAACGCAGGAGATTTCAAATCTTCAGACTGCTGCACCAGCTGCATTGGCACTGCCAGCTCACTGTCCACAAGTAAGGTACAGCGGGGACGGATTTTTTTTCTGAAAAGGTGAAATAATCTTTTCATTCTTTGACTGATATCTCCATTGTAAAGCTAAACCTATTTGGATCAACAAAGACAATTCTTAGCATCAGTTGCTGAATTCGACTTTCCGATGAGCTTTAGTGGCATCACCATTGCAAGTATCTAAAAAAGAAGTGGGCATTCACATCAGGCAAACAAGCTAGCCTTCAAGAAGATGAAAAAACCCCCAAAACCTTAAACTGACAATTATCTTTTGTGTCATCAGTTTAAAAAGCAATGTGCTTCTTTTCCTGTCAAGTCCAGCCACCTTGTGATCTTATTGTCGCTAAACTCTAATGTAATCCCTACCTAAACCCAGAATAACACACTCAGATCCTAGTCACATACACAGGCAGTCAGCGAAGCAGAGAGAAACTTGACTGAAGTTGTACCCTTGTGCTTGATCTCCAAAGAAGAACATATTTTAGCAAGAGAGAAAAAAAAGATACTGGATAATAGATGTAGCTTCTGGGCAAAAACATACTTTGTTCCTTTGTTATTGCTATACATGCTTTGAATGTTCTTATGTTGTCTGCATAATGCAGGCCGAATGGTGAAATTTAGATACGCTGAATATTGCGTTTGATAAATTTTTAGGCAACAGTAAATACATTTGAACAATAATTCATTTTTTATGTACTGAATGGCAAAATAAGATTGCTTTTTCTTTCAATCCGTTTACTAACTGAAAAAAGATACCGCACTTTTGAATTATAAATTTCATCTTGAGGATCAGGCGTGGACAGGCTTTTGCCAGAAGGGTTAGTTTGTCTGAAATACCTGTGGGTTGCAAGGGGCTCCGGGGAGTGTAGTGTTGCAAGATTGTGGGCCTGATTTACTAACGGGAGTACAGCGAACTAATGAGAGCTGAAGTGTTCGTTTCAAACATCCAATCATTGGCAGGGGAATGTGAAAACTTTGTATTTTTTTATTCCCCTGCTCATGATTTGATGACTCATTTCAGTTTGCTTTCCACATTATTAAGTCTTACCCTGTTTGATATCAGTTTACTGCATGTCATACTTTAGTAACTCAGGCCTCGATTTTGACATGATCTTAGCATAAACTGGAAGTTTACTACTCCTCAGGAACCATTCATACCTGAGCATTTTGTAGTAAATCCTGTGTATTTCAATGGTGTCTGTTCACATATGAGCACCCAGTTGCCTGTAGCTTAAAACCTGATGCTTCAAAAGCTACATGATCTACTTTTGATGCAGATTTGGGCATTTATGGCCCCATAGACTTTAACAGGAATGCCTGAACGCAGTTCACAGCATTTGTTTCTTGTGTATTTCAGGCATTATTTAGCCTGAAAAAAAAGGTCTCTTCCCCCTAGTGCTTTCCGTTGGCTAAAACAAAAATGCCTGAAGCTTAAACACACATGCGAAAGGCTTAAAATACAATTACAAAATGTTTGTAAGCACACACATGTAAAAATGCTTAAATAAAAATGCCTGATAATTGCTTTGCTCAGGTGTGAATGCAACCTCACT